TCGACGACAACGACGATTTCATGGCGAACAGACCCGCTTTCAGAGGGAACAATAAAGCCCATTCCGTCGACTTCTCCCGAGCCTCCATTATGTGTATTTCCGTCCCTTCTCGCAGTAGCGGGAAGCAACTCTTTTTGTCCGGGCGGTTATCCCTCGGAACTTAATAACTCAGGATATACCGTTCTCTCCCCTCGCGGTCATTGCCGTGCCTCTGGCGGGTCCACGATGGCGGTTTCGACGCGACGCTTCGTCGTACGAAGGTGTTAAAGCACTGAAACGGATCCCGCAGTCACATACATCCAGGATATATCGTTATCTCCTCGCGATAGCGTCCAGCCGGCCATTTAAGGACTTCCGCTGTAGCGTTTATCGGGTTTCGTTCGTTTCATCCGTTAATTGCGTCCTTGCACTCGGACTATTTAAAGAAACGTATACTGTTTAACCGTAGTATGAATTCGCATTCCCGTGATCGCCGCGTATTCTTTTGGTCGGCGCATGCGACTCACAATCCGGTCGGTGTCCATCCTCTTGCCATTTCCACGCGACAATTCCCGGCGGACGTCTCCCAGCGAAGTCGAGTTTCCTCTCCCGACCTGAACGTGTTAGAACTCGAGAGAGAGAAAGGTAGCGCGCGTTCGCGATTCACCCCGACTCGCGCTCAACTCAAAACGTGCCCCGCTCCGAAGGGAAAGCTCCTCTTTCCGTCAGTTCCACAACCAGACTCTTCGAGGGATCCGCGCGAGTACCGAGAAGCCGAAGGTAGCGGCGGTCAGCCGGACCACTCGGTGGTATTTTCACTTAAGTTAACACGACCCCCCGTGCGGATGTACCCTTTGCGAGGCGCCGACGACACTTCCGTCTAATAAAAGCCTAATAACGATCGATACGATATCGCCCCGCCTCTTTCCCGTTCCGTCGAAGTCGAGGATGCTTGACTTCGCGCCTGAAGCCCGAACAATCCAAGCGCTCTCGAACAACAGCAGCGGAAAGCCGCAGTCTCTCGTCTCGTCGTGGGGAGGCCTCGGCTTCCTCGACAGGAGGAGGAACGGAACGACTACGCGCTCGCAATCGTCGGGATATGACTGCGATACCGAGAGGGAAACGTCGCTCGGCGTCGAGCTCGCGTCAAACACCGCGTCAACCGCGATAACCAAATGGCGGGAGGCGAGACCTTGTCGACGAAGGTGATACACGACTCCTTGTCGTCGTCGTCGTAGTCGCCGGGACGACAGTCATACGGGCTTCTGATTACGGCGCGGGCGATCGGCTTGGCCTACATAGATTATTACACGACTTACGAGGTCCTATCGTAGAAAACGCGTGGGTATGCGTGTGAGAAGGAGAGCTGAGCTCACAAAAGCGTCACCTTCGATGCGATTGGACGCGCACTTAGTCCACCATTGTGTGCGGCCGACGAGACTGTCGCCGCAACGGCGGTGTTTCAGTTTGATTACACATGCGATATAAATATTAATGCCGCTAATACATGGCGTCTCCTCGTGCATTGATAAAATTCAATCGACATTATTGGACAACTCGGTTCACCGTCGAAGGAAGGAAATTAAAGCCCAGCGGCGTGAAGGCCGTGGATCTTGCGTCGTTCGCATGTGTAACATATGTAGGCGTATGCATTCGCTTCATGCGCTACGAATTAATAACTTTGCCATTGCCCCGATTGATTCCCCGAGCCAAGACGACGACGGTACACGCGGCTCCGTCGAGACGCGCTCGTTCAACGCTGGACGAGCGCGCGTCAGGAATCCCGCATAAGGTGCGAGACGAGCGGCCACGTAGCATGGAGACGCACGTCTTTATGTGAATAATATAAAGAAAAAAAAAGAGGGAGAAAAAAGCGTTGCCCGAAGAAATCCGTCAGCGTGCGTGGTAATACCCGACACCGGGGCGGCGAGCACTGCGAGATCGAGTATAAGAACGTGTCTACACGTAAAAGCCATTTTATCAGTAAGAACAGAAGAGAGGAGAAATACGGCGGGAAGCCGACGCTCGAGCTCTTGTAAATCGCTTTAGCGAGAGCTCAGTTCGCGCCGCAAACAGAAGAATACCACCGCCACCGTCAAATATCCGGTCTAATGCGATGCAATCATTTCTCTTGCTGTTAAACGAAATAAAGAGGTAGGAGAGGAAGACAAGAGAGGGGTGGAAGAAAGAAGAAAATGAGAAACATCCGGGAATTATTCCGCGCAGTTCGCGAAAATTGCTATAAGCGAGAAGTTGAACGAGACGATAGTCGGGGTGCAGCTTTCTTCCCTTTTCCCTTAGGCTTTTCCGCGACGTTCTGGGCGCGGACGTAGCGTTCCTAATGCGAAAGACAGACAGATTCGCGCGTTATTATTGTCTGATGATAACATATAAAACTTTCGTGTATCGAGCAGGTCACATTGAACAAAAGTTCCTCCACCATTTTGCGGACAAGCACGTGAAATTTTTAATTACTGATTCAAGAAGATTTTCATGAGCGATCATGCGCGACACGGCAAATCAGCCGTGACGGCACGCGCCATCTGCCGTCGTGTGCTCGCACATTAGATTCGACGACTGAAGAAACGGAGTCCTCCAGCATTTTGCGAATAATCATAATTCTTGGCTACTGACCAAATATAAATGATGAACGATCGTGTTCGCCAATCTCCTTCGACTAATAACTAAAAATCTACGTGATTCAGAATAGAATATATGGTATGAGTAAAGCGCGAGAGACAGTTCTTCAATTCTTCAGCAGTATTCCGTAGTTTTCTGGAACATTCTTCAATTGTTCTGCGCAGTGTGTCAATTTATTTTGCGGTCTGTTTCAAATATATTATACTATTTTATTTTAAACACCACATATTGATGACTTAAGATTTCTGTGATTGCGCGCAAAATGGTGAAGGAATTTTTTGTTCAATTTAACCTGATCTACGCGTACACACACGAGAGTTTCACATGTTATCGTCAGACACTGTACATATGTTAGCCTCGTGGAAGCCCGCGGCGGACAGGTGAGAAGAATGTGCAGCTCGTGACCAGTTTGGACGAAAATCGATCCCGATTGTTTCCCGGAGGACAATTACTCCGCCGAGGACGCTCCTTCCGGCGCCTGCGAACGGCCCCGGAGGGCCAGTACGATGGATGCGAAAACGAGGGCGCGAGGACACGCAAGGGCGGAGATAATCGAGCCCCGAAGAATAGCGCGCGATTCCGGCCGTTGTGTCCGCGCGGCACGAAAGACACGCGTGACATTTTTCGCGCGGCATTCTCGCGAGTCAAACGGTGCTCGAACAATGCTCGGAGATTGCAAATGATTTTTTTCTCCACCGACTTCGCTTGTTTCTTTATTTCTTAGGCCCCCGACGTCGATATTAAAACGTGAACGTTTGACAGACGGCGATGCATGTGTCGCGGACGTTTCTTCCTTTTTCTCCTCTCTTTTGGAAAATCAACACCCCATTCGAGCCGTTGTTGGTTATGGCAATTACGGCGCCACGGCGACCTGCCTGGCACGATTTCCAGTCCGTAGAAGCGAGAAACAAACAACCTCGCTTCGCACAACTGCCTCGCTTCTCGCCCACCTCTCCTACGGTTGTACGCGAATTTACATTTTCCACCGCAGGGCCAAAGTTCCTCGGGCGTACGTGTACATATATATGTACATATATATATATATTATATCGACTACCGGCGCGGAGGCTCCCAGGAATGGCGCCAGGTGCGTACTCCGGTGCTGTTTCCCCGTTTGGGCCGAACAAGGGCTGCGTTAATGGAAGTTTCGTGTAAGCCAGACGTTAATCCGATATACCGCGGACGAGTGCGCTACACACTTTTAAGGCGGCGCGGCACCGCGCTCCTGCGCCTGATAACGAGGCGTCGATAATATCAGCTATACTTTATACGTCGTCGAATACATTCGCTGCCTACGCACCTAAATCAATAGCGTGTGTACTACCGCGGCAATAACGTTTGACGATTAGCGGCACGACAGCCCGACGTCGAACGACCTAGCTGGTCCGAGGTGACAAGCGCGAGGAAAGTAGTCCTTACCGCGAAGAGATACGCTCTTTAAAAGAAGGGGACTGAAGAAGGAAGCGCGGAGGGAAAGAGAGAGTGCTAGTAATGCGCGTATGTCGTGACTCGTGTTACCGGGAATCGCGCGGAGATTGCGAGAACGGGGTGCTCGAGAAATGCTCGGACGATTGCACCAGGTGAGCGTTCGGCGAAATAAACGACACTACGAGCGCGTCACGCCAGCCAGCGATTATTTAACAGTCCCATCCTTCGCGGAACAGTAACGCGCGTCATACGCGCGTCTTATCTACGCGCCAGTTGCCAGTATGACATTTGTGTGATCGTTTTTCAGCCGATATCGACGCCCGTACGCCGTTCGATTATCGTTATTCTGTTTGATCGGCGAGAAGCATTTTTCTGCCGCTCAATGTGTGTGTGTGCGTGTACGTGTATGCGTGTGTATGACGAAAGTCCGCGTGCCGCCGCATTAGCGATAACGGCCTCCCCTATCAATCACTATGACGCACGCTCGCGACATACGTACAAAGCATAGACGTGGAAAAACTGGAGCTGATGCAAATACGGCGCCGTCTAATGTCACCTCTCGTGGAATAGATATTCCAACGCGCCGGTGTCGCCGGGCGACCTTCCGGCAATTAACGCGTAAATGAGCACGACGAATCGGCGTTCGCTCGCTCGTGGTGCACGTGATAACGTCGGGCGAAGGTGAAATCTGACAAGGCCACAGGGTAGCTTTCGCGAAGGACAGGCCGCGCGACAAATGCGGGCATCGCCGCATTTTTTCAAAGGTCGTCGCCGCGGTCGTCGACCGTCGAAACGGAAAGTACCCATGTGTTTGTCAGGCCGCGGACGATCGATCGAATCGCCCCGCGTTGCCGCTCGTTCGTTTCGTCGATAGCGCCTAACCTTCGTGTGCACGCATGAGATAGGCTAGGGACTGGTCGATCGTGGCTCTGAGAAACTCAGATTCTACGTACGTTCATTCCGATGAGAATGATCTGATTGAACGCCCAATGCCAGCGCTGCCTCGCCGTCATCCCCGGACGTTCCTTCAGCTGCGTCGGCACCGGCGCGGCTCCGACCATCTTCAGGAGTTCTTCGTCGGGTGTCGGCTCGGGTGGACTTCGCGGCGGAGTATCCATCTGAACGCTCTCCTCCAAGGATGCCTGCTTCGTTATACTCCCTGAGAGGAATCAGTCGATCAGAAATCAGATGAATCAGTCGGCAGTGAAAAGAAGAGAAAGATTCGTTTTAATTCGACAGTCAATGGGATAAACTTACCACGAGGACTCTCGATATGCGACAACGGCGGAGTTCCCTTGTACGGTTCAACCAATGAGTCCTCTCGAGAGTTACGAAGCAAGGCTTCCTCACCCCGTTCGTACCTTTGGCGGAAACAAAACAAAAGAATGTTATCTCAAGGCTCAATTGACATTAAATCGAGATTCTCGCGTTCTTACTTGTAGTTGTTATTTAAAACTTATGTTACATGAGATTCTTAGATCTTAGTTTGAAATCAAATCTGAACTTTAACTCACGATTATAGATGTAATCATATGATTCAAATGAAAAATTCAGATCTAATTCTAAACTGAAATCCGAGTATCTCTCATGTGAAACAAGTTTCAAGTAACGATTAAATACAAGCAAGAAATACGATCTTTGGAGTAATATTAATAGTCTAATCATATATAATTAAAATTGTCTCAAGTTCATCTTCAGATGCTGTAAAAACCGTTTTATTGACTGTATGGAATTTTAAAATAAACTTGAGACAATCTTGATTGTAAAATCAGACAATAAACATCGCTCTTGTCTCACACTTTAGATATCCTACCTCTCAAGAGTCTCGTCCCGCATTTGATAGTCCCCGTTCACTGCGTTGCCTAGAACAATGTCGCTTTGATCTATCGACTCCTGGTCCTTGAAGTGACCACGCTGATAACTCTCCGCTCGCGAGATGGGTTGCGGTGCGGTAAAGTTCGGCGAAGTTTTATAATTGCTTATTCGCAATTCTCTTTGCTGATACGAGTCGGTTCTGGTTAAAGGTGGCTTGAAGCCATCCTGTGTGCTCGAAGAGAAAGAATCCTTCCTGGTCAATTGTGCGTACGAATCCCTGCGACTGTACGACTCCTCGGGGAAGTTGTCCGAAGCGTAAGAGTCGCCTCTGGTGAGCTTCGGCTTCTGAGCGAGTGTCGACGAGTGCTGGCTCATCTGACTTTGATGCGACATCTGCGAATCCTTGCGTTGTGGCTCCTTAGGAATGATCTCTGGGTATTCCTCGTCCTCAATCATGTCCTCCTGGTAGGAATCTGTTCTGGCTAGTCGCTTGCCGTTCGCAATGGGGGTGCCGTGTACCATCGCGGTCACGGTCATACTGGTGGTCACATGATTGGTCATCGACACGTGATTAACCATCGTGGTTTGCGGAATCTGAGGGATGCTTCGCGGCGAGTCCATCGAGCTGGCGAGCGCGTCATTGGTCGTCGAGTACTCGGCGAAGCCTTTCTTCGGCTGACTACCGATCGAGCTCACAGCTGTGTCGAATGAATCTTTCAACTCGTCATCCCGAGACTCGAGGGAGTCCGTGTTTTGCTGGAGAAGCGGACTGGTTTCGCGTTTACCGAGTTTCTTCCTCCTCGAGGTTGCCAGCGGCGACGTGTCCTCGGTCTGTTGCGACTGATAGAAATATTCCGACTCGTTCGACGGATAGCCGTTCGAGCTCGTTTGGCCTTTAGGCGTGGTCACGGAGAGCTCAGGCACTTCGCTCTGTCTCCTGTCCGTCACCGTAGCCGTCGTCGTCGCCGGAGTGTCCTTGTAACGCTGTTGCTCTTCGAAAGATCCTTGATAAGAGTCTTGATACCCGTCGTATGACTCTTGATCTTCCTGGTAAGATTCCTGATAAGAATTGTTCTTGTACGTCGTAGGTACGTCCTCCTGCTTACTGTACGGAGTATGATAATCTACGAAGTCTTCCGGCTGTTTTGTATGAGGTTCCTGATAATTCTCCTGCGACGTAACAGGCACTTGATTGTACGTCTTTTGATAAGTATCCTGATAATCGGTCGACGTATTAATATTGTACTGCGAGTCGTACTGTTGTGACGGCTGATACTGATTGTAGGTGTTCCCGACATTGTTCTGATCGTAGGTGTTCTGATCGTAAGTATTCTGATCGTAGGTGTTTGACGGCACGGTGACGGCACCGTAATCGTCGTATTTCTCTTGATAAACGTCCTGCGTGTAATCCTGCTGGTATTGCACGTTGTTCTGGTTGAAACCCATCTCGTGGTAATTGTCCTCAATTATCATGCCATCTGCCTTGTCGTATTGACTGTTCGACTGATCTCCCGCGTACTGGTCGTTCGCCTGATTGGCAGCGATCGGATATGTCGTGTCCTGATAAGATTCTTGATACACCTGTGTGTTCTGTTGCGCGTACGGTTGCTGCTGGTACTCGTCCTTGTACGAGTTCTGCTGCGTGTACGTTTGCTTCCCGTAGCTGTTCTGCTGTGCATGCTGCTGCGGATACGAATGACTGTATTGATCGTCGACCTGCGTGATAGTCGGGTAATTCTTGTTGACGGCATGCTGCTGTTGCTGCTGCTGCTGCTGCTGCTGTTGCTGCTGCTGCACCGGCTGGTCGACGAAGCCGCTGCCTTGTTGCCCATAAATGTTGTCCGTGTACGAGTCCTGCGGCAGATTGTCCTGACTACGGTAAGCGTAATTGTAGTCCTCGTTGTAGTCGGACTTGTAATAGCTCTCCTCGGAGGGCGTCCTGGTCTTTGGCAGTTGTCTGCTCGGCGTAGCGGGCAGAGACACGAGCTTACGACTGACTATCACGTTGCTCGGCTTGGTCGGGGTCGGAGGTAGTTTCTTACCGGTGCCCTCCTGCCGGGACATTGGACGTTGCTGCGGCTGCAGGACTTTCCGGCGACGAGCACTGTGCCCGCTTCAAGGAGGTATAAGAAATGAACGATTATTTTAACAATGTCAAACTACATCACATCGTATGACATTATATTTAGACGCGATGCAAATAAGTCCAGATCACTAATGAGTGTCGGCTCAATATTTCATTTAAGATTTAAGATATGCGCGCGCATCTCCTTATTAAAAGAATACATACATAATTTAAAGTACGTGCTTTTTAACGCCTCGTACTTAAAATAAAATAACAAGACAGAGAAGTTTCGCGATATGAACAACCGTTAAATGTAACGTGACGTACTTGTAGTCGAGTTCTTCCGACTCGTAGCTACGCTGTCGGGTAACGGCGGGCCTGTAGTCCGGCCGGTGTATCCCGATGCTCGAAGCTGGCCGCTGCGGAAGTGTCTTTCTGTTATGTTTATTTTCATAGTGCGTACTCGTTGTCCCAGGGTACCATTTCCCTCCACTATCCCACTGCCTGTCCTCGTCGTCCAAACCGTGCCTGAAGAGAGATAGAGAGAGAGGGAGATTGGCAAACTTCAGTTTCCTCACCGACCGAACAAGCCTTTCAGACTTTGCGCTTCTTTCGTACGTTTATGTTCTTTTCATAATACTCGTCGAGACAGCTTACCTCTCATCCTGATAGGTGCATCCCGTTATGTTGTCGTAGTACTCGTTATACCTAATATCGGTCTCGCATTCCGGATACGTGGCGCTCATTTTACCCACTCTTCCGTCGCTGTTGTACCCGTAATACGAGTGATCGTCATACAGGGTCATCTGTCTCTCCAGAGACGGTCTTCTGTGCGGTATAGCTTGGAGAAACACAGACAGAGACGTCATACATTTATTTTCATTCGTCAAAGTACATCTTGCAGAAAGTACTCGATAAAAAAATGAAGACCAAGCGAAGTTAACAACCAAAGGGACTAAACTTCCTTCTCGATGCAATATAGTTCACTTACTATTGCGTAATTCAGTACAAAGAGAAAGAGAGCGAGACAGAGATTCCGTTCGAAACAAGAGAGAGTGGCTCGGGAGAGAATGTACGCAAGGAGCGGAAAAGGTGAAATAAAGGATGACGCGGAGGAAAGCCAGCGGGAATTTTCTTTAATAATCCGCGGTGCATTTACGAGCCGGGATTTAGTACCTTTTCCATCCCGTCTTCTCGTGCTCGAGCTGTTCGTGTAGTGTGTCGGTGTAGATTCAGTGTCGCTATAGATTCTCGTGTCATCGACCCTCGTGCTGTGATAGTCATGGCCCTCGCTGTACCAGCCGTCTTGGCTGAAAGCACGAGATCGTGATCAAACAACTTTGGTCACATCAGGTAGGCGTGACTGAGCCGAGGATGAGATGACTCGTGATAACGATGAAAGGAGGATTTTTATCGGCCCTCTCGAATGATCAGCTGCGCCTACTATAACTGCACCATGCAAATGCCTGTCAATCGATTAATGCGTCGCTTCAACTGTCGCTAGACTAATTTTACGTTAGTCACGTTCCTTGTACGCGAATCGTTCGCGAGAAATGTCAACGATTCACTCAAGCAGTCGTGTCCCTTGAAAACTGTACGATTTGTCCGTTCCCGTAAATTGCAGTGGCGGAGGCACGTCTAGACTAAGGTAAGCCGTGTGCACAGTCATTTGTTAGAGGCATGAATCTTATTTTCACGTGCATTCAGTGAGAATGCGAAGTGAGTGCTTGCGATAGCCTACATTTGTAATGAACGAGCGGCTCGACGTAATCACCCCGCGATCGATGAGTTGAGCAATTGCATACGGTTAATTGAGTGCAATGCAATCAAAAGCTGAAACCAGCGTTGTGGTAATGCGCGAGGCGGTATCGTGCCGATATCGTGATTATGCCCGCAAAGAACGAGACATGATGGATGGAGGAGGCTGATAAGTTGTCGAGTATGGATGAATGGTGGGTGCTGTAATAAGAGTCACTGTGGAAAATTCTCACGAAACCCGCAGAAAGCCGCGCTCCTACCGTACCTGTCCTCGTAATCCCACGTGTGCTTCCGTCGTCTGGATCAGGCAAGAAAATAATCAACGGTTTTCTTCCGTCGCATTAACGATGAACTTAACGATAAACAAAGATTATGCGCGCTCGTTGTTTCATAGCAGAGATGCCGCGTCTACTCATACATTGTACGTAAAAAATTTCTCTTTTGCCATTTTGAACAAAATAACGATATATACGTAGAAAACCACGTATGAGATGCTAAACATAATATCCTTAATCTAAACTCTCTTTTATCGATAAAAATGCCTCTAAATATAACTTACAGATCTCCTGAGACTGATCTTATTGATGAAAGAGAGTTCAGAATAAAAGCCAATGTGTTTCAGTATCTGTCGACGTATTCAATGAAACATAATATCCAATGATGATCGTCTCGACTATATCATGCCTATAGTACCTATATTCCTTATAGTGTTTTGGTCTGCTGTTATAGAAGAGTGGCTCGGAAGACTCTGAAGGGTGCTGGGACTGCAAGTATCTCTGCGGCGGACCTTCCTCAGGATACGGCTCGTCGTATCTCGGACTATGACTCGAGCCCCCGTAACTTCCGTAATTACTGGGCGCCAGTCTTCCACCGACGGTGGCTGGAATCTAGCGAGGCAGTCCGTTTAATTTGTTATCACACGGATCAACGACGTCGCCGACGTCATGGATGATACACGGGGAAAATGTTGCAGTAAATATTACGGCAAAATCCTGGTAATCTTGGGTCACACAGAATTGTGACTGCATTTATTACGCAATACAATCACATTTGTTCAGATATGCACGTTACGCACTCGCGTTTGACTTCTCACTATAAGATTATCGTAAATTACTTAAATGTCCTTTATGTCGTATACCAGATAAAGATTTATTATTTCTGTAACAATCCGTACTACAATTTCAGTATAGTCCAGCTTCGCAGAGAAAACACGTAAAAGGACATAATTTTAACGTAATTTTTACGACGACACATTTTCTCCGTGTAAAAGTGCGAATGGGTCGAAAACTCGGGTCGTTCTCTTTTAATGACGGATCTCCGTGGGTGCGACGGAGGCTCTTACATCGTTACAACAACAAGGACTCGACAGACAGAGAGAGAGAGACAAAAGTCACGTTCCTCTATTTGACCCGAGTATCCCGAGCGTGAGCTTCACGTTTCGCGACTCCGTGGTCGATCAATACCTGATGATCGTCTCTCTCGTAACTGTTTTCTCTCGACGTCTCCAGGGATCTCTGAGGCGTAGCCAATTGGTTGGCCGCCGTGCGAAACTGCGAGGCCGAGCTGTTCGCGCCCTGTCCACCTACTGGATAATTCAAGTCCGACGTGTAGTCAGAGTCCTCCGAGTATCCCGCTGAAAGATGGATCGTATATACCGTAAGCAGAAAACACTGACGGGGACGCCTGACATCATTCGCTCGATGAGATTGATGCGTTTGGCCGAAACCTGCCGCGTCTCATTCGGCTGCGTTGACGAGATTGTCACTTGTGCTGAATAATATATCCGCTAAAGGTTGTCATTATAACAAACGTCGTACAATATCGATATCACAAAAGGCGCACAGGAACTGAAAGAAAAAAGATCAGATCACATCCAGTGCGTGGCGAGTGCGAACCATCCATCTGGCGATCATCCTCTCGCTCGAGTTTCCCGTTTCCCAACACGTCGAAGCCCGCTGAAGCGTCACTAACTCAATAACACACCCAGTAAAATTCACGTTCACGTTCGGCATCGTGACCCAACGGGCGGGTTCGGCTGTTTCCCCTGAATAAAATGTGAAGCCAATTTCGCAACTTCGCCGCGCAGTAGTTTCGCAACTTCCCGCAGACAGACAGAATTGGTCGATATTGGTAGAATCCGGGAACTGAAGTGGTGCAATAACAGGAAGCAAGATAAGTATAGTTATAACAGCCATGCGACAAATTGATCGTCGTGTAGGCATCGTTACGATCTCCTCCTTCGGTTTCATGTGTGCTCTCTTTCTCTCCCTCTCTCTCACTCTGTTCCTCTTTTTAACCCTTTTCCTTTTTCTTTCAACCCTCGGGACCAGAGGAATGCAAATTGCCGTATTACGGAGGCTCTCACATACGTATGGAACGTTTGCAAGGACATAGAATGCGAGAAAAGGAGAAAGAGAGAGAGAGGGAGAGAGAGAGCGAGCGAGAACGAGAGTGAGAGAAAAAGAAGAGAAAGAGAGAGAGGGGAAAAAAGGAACAAAAATTGGCCAGACACCAACGACTCATTAGTACAGAGACGAACTATTCTGCTTTCATGCTGCCTTCTCATAGCTGTTACGGGCTGCTAAGGGTTGCTAAGAAAGAAGGGGGTGTAACAACGGTGGTAAGTTACCGACGACACGTCGATAGCCGATAACACATACGAAACGGGCGGTCTCGTATGCCCGTTTCTCCAGGGTAGTACTTCGCTACATACTCTCCGAGGGTAAGACAACAACGGCGTGCGCGTAGCCGCCGATCGTAGATAGGGGCTGCTAGCACACGAAACCCACACACAAATTGATTTCTCGCATGAAAAAACAGGGGCGTAAAAGTTTTATGACTTACTCGGAAGTAGCGTTCGAGCGAACGACCTAGAAAGCCACGGTTTCTAAAAATACTGCAAGTATGTCAGACGATCCGTGTGTAGATGAAAGTGCCGTGGAACGTAGTGGTGGTAGGCTGCAGCGAATTAACGCTCGCGCGATGTAAATATTGTTCCGCGTATCGCGCTCGCACAGGAATCGTGATTCCGCGTAAAGTCGGATAATAATAATAATCATCATAACAATTCGCGAGCGCAAACGATGACGCACGAGGAGGATATCGAGAAAGTAGTTAGAATACGTCGCGGATCACAGGTACACGATACGTCGGTAGAAAATCCGTCGTTAGCTGCGCGCACACAGAAGTACACGCGCGCGCAGAGATACCACCGAATAAGACTGCGATCGAAACGGTCCGATATATCCGCGATTTATTTTAGCTCCATGAGTCGCCGCGCAAAGAGCGATCGATACTCTCGAGTCGCCGTGATTTCTCGCTTTCTTGACTTATGTGTCGCGAGGCAGATACGTCTCATTCGCGGATTCGCCGCGCATCGAATTCCTCGGCCTGTGGAGGAAAATCAATCGAGCCGAACGAGAGATAGATAATCGATCGGCGGTTAAGGGAACGACGTTTCTCTCTCTGGGGCTCGCGCGCGCGCGGGCACGCGCGAGAGAGCGTTTTCAAATAAAATATCCAGCCATCTAAACTGTAACTTTGACGGTACTTACAGTGGCCTATATTGTACAATATCTGCCTTCGTGCCTGTTCGGCCCGCGCCTCCTGGTCCATCATGTTGTTCAGCATTTCCAGCTTCCTCTGCAGATCGGCCGCCTCCGTGTTCTCGGGGTCTTTCGAAAAGATAGATATCGATAGGGAAACAGTTAATCGCGAGTCTCGACAATCTGACGTCTTCAGTCGATCTGTCATCCTAAGTTTTACTTAGATACGTGTATGTGACTCTCTTGTGACAAAAAAAAATAAAAGAAAAACAAGAAAGAATGGAACAGATAAACAAGAAGACTCCACTAGTATATCGTGTATGTATGTGGGTATATCTGTGTGTATGTATGTACGTGTATGTCTACATTAATAACCACTAATATCTAGAACGAGCTCGCGACAAAAAACAGCTACGAGGACTTCACACATTTGCACGATTATGTCCGTCCGATCTTGTTGTGTGATCGTGTTGTCGGTTGCAAATCGGTTTGCGCACTATGTATCGAATAAAGTTGCAACGTTTCAAGTTGTGAGAATCAAGAGCCGCTGCCGAATGTGTGTGGGTAACGATCGGTTATGACAGCAGTCGAAATGACACACACACACACACACAGAGTGTGACATTTGTAAAATTTGCGTAAGAGAATTTGTTTTAAACTTTTTAAGAGAGATTCTTTTCTAATTGAAACAATTCACGAGAAATGATATTTACATATACACATACTTCTAAACGCGATTACTGCACATACCTGTGCAATTTATCGGCAGTGAAATTTATCGATTCTCACAACTCGAAGCGTTGCAACTTCACATTCAATAAAAAGTGTGATTTGCGACCGGCTACGCGTTTTTGCCTCCAGTGTGATGATCGCGAGCGCGAGCGCGACCGGCGATTCGCGTTTTACCGCGTTACTCGCTTTTACCTACACACACTTCACGTACACATTGCTCGAAAGTCGCGCGCGAATCCGCGCGATTCAAGTGGTTCGCGGTAGCCGGAGTGCACTCTACCTCGCTGGATTACCCTGTATAAATGATATCAATTCTGGGCTGCGTCATCAGCTAGCTGCCTCTCGCTGCTCTCTCGCCCGATCGTAATTACATATTGAACCAACAAGCTCCCGAGAACCGTTCGGCAAACTTTGCCGAGCCGTGACAACGCGACTCGCCGCCGCCGTTAGCAGGTAGCTAGTTGGCGGCCGATTTATTACGGGTGCGAACCATTCCGCCCCAACCAGGACGCTCCGATATTCCAACGACGACGACGACGTCGGAGGAGAATATTTCCCGACGCGGAAGAAAAGGACGACCGTTTCTCGGCGCTCGCTCCACGCGCACGCTGAGTGCATCAATATCCGGTCCCGCGCTCCCTCGCGTCTCTTCCACCGTGTCCCTGAGAAGCAGCCTGCCGCTTAACTGAAACTTCGATCGGCTAGTTAGAGCGCGATAGACATACGCAAGGTTGATGAAAGGGCCGGTGCCGTCATCGCTCTGCTGTTAGCTCGAGAGACGCAGAGCAATGATCGCTCTCCACGTGAAACGCGTCCTCCGCACGCGTTTAGTTTCTCCTCACGTTTGACCTTTAACCGTCCGCGGGAAGTCGCGCAAAGTCCAAGCGCGCGAATTGCGCGCTTCTCTCCTTGGATGTGGCAAGCGTCGCAGTTATTCTGACAGGTCGACTTCCTGGTTCACGATATAATTGCCACGCTGAGATGCACGTCCTTGGCAGATATCCTCGGCATTTTTCGTCCTTCGCGGGCGTTACGAGGTCGCGTTTGTGTCACGTGGCGATGTTAGCCCGTGGGGCGTGCAATTTCTGCTGAGTCTTGACCGGTTGCTACCGTGCCGTGGAGGAGCGAAGCTCTTTCCCCGACACCGTTTTCTCGCACTTCTTCCCTCCGGACGCAATTAGAAAAAGGGTCAAGCTATGAAAGAGGAGTGAGCGTCTCGCGAGTAGCGCTCTCCTCTGAGGACCGTGCCGGTCGTTGACGACTCGACGCGAATTTTGGCTCTACCTCGGCCTGGCAGGCGCCAATTTTCTCCTCCCTTGTGACTCTCCTCGGCCGCCCTTCGTAACAGCAGCAGCCGGCGGCGACGGCTCTTTCTTCCCCCTTTCGCTACGTCGTCGCTCTTCGGTAAATATGAGGAAAAAGCGCAACCAGCTGCACCCCGAGCGCACACGCGAAAAAAGTCTCCCTCGGCATCCCTCACCTATGACCCATACACGTGCACATGTACTCGACCTCGCGCTGTTTCGTATTTCCCGGTGGACGGTTGAAATAAATGCGATGTAACTGCAGGCGGCCACGGTAATGGCGCTACCGTAACAGCTGGTCCTCCATATATATTGACAAACTTTGAGCGACGACGGTGACGCGCGTCGCGAAGCCGTCCCCGTGTCTCGCTCTTATCCCAAAGTGCTTCCTCTATTTCTGCCGTCCGCTATTTCCTACGTTCCGCTATCGGACGTCACTCACCTCCTCATGGCTAAATTAGGAATACCGGTATCGATAGCACGACCGAATATAATTGGCGAGATCGCGCGTTGTTATAGCTCGGTGGGGGAAGAGGTGGAGGTAGATAGATAGACAAAGATAGAGAGAGAGAGAGAGAGAGAGAGAAAGAGAGAGAAAGAGAATCTTCCTCGTATCCTTCTACGAATCTCTCCGTATTTCCTTTTATCCACACGGGTTTTGATGATGTTATCCGAGCTATCCGTTAAGTATTCGATACGTGGCGTTATCTCGTTAAAAGCAACCGCGAGGAAACTCGTGGAATTCTTTTTCGCTCATCTTTGATTCCGCACAGCATGATCGTGTATGTGTGTGTGTGTGTGTATGTGTGTGTACATATATATATATATATATATATATATATATATATAATATATTATATATATACATATATAGAGTACAGATAGATATGCGCGGATGTGCGACCTTCCGGAACGGCGAGCCGTATTTTCTCGGCGAGATTTCCAAAGAAACGAAATAAATTTCGCACAATAGAGCGCCCAAAACCCGTCCGCCATGCCGGTTCCCACCTTCTTCGTGTACTAGTCGCGCTAAGGAATTATACCACGTTACCGCGCTTCTCAAGCAGATTCTATTGATTCTTTTCTCAACGCGAAAGAATCGCCTCGGCTGACTTCGAATGGGCGTCCGACGTCACCTGGATGTAAACGACTGAAGAGGGTGAAAAAGAAAGAAAGACTGAAAGAGAAAAAGAAATTTCTCCTCGTCGATGTGTAGAACCGACTTGAGAAACATGCTCGAATCTTCTCGACGCGTTTTATCATTCTTGTCGCGCGAGCGCGCTTCCGCGGGAAAATTCAGGTACGAGGAAGAAATTTACTTCTCACTCTCATCCCTGCGGACGATTCTTCTTCCTACTATTCATTTATATATAACGTGCATGAGAACTCGGTTAGATGGCGTGCAAGTGCGTAGATGTTTAATTAACGTCGGGCGTGAGTTTGATTTTAATGTATTAAATTAAATATAGGGGAGTTAGATAGAGGAAGTCATGGGGAATTAGGAATGAGGACGCAGATAGTCTGTAAGTGAAGACGAAATAAGACGTTAGGAAAACAGGAACCAGGATGGAAAAATAGAAGTTATGGCGTCATGAGAAACGGGCTGTGCAGGTAATGCAGGCAAGCGTTTAAATCAATATTATAATGCAGAGGAAGTCATCCATAAAAGAGATGTATGATAGGTGATAATAGAAGACAGTAGTACACAAGGGATAGAGAAAAAAAGAGGATACAAGAAATAAAGAGAAAAGATTTGATCATCGGATAAAATAAGGAAGTAAAATAAAGGTATACGGAAGAAGAACTGGTGCTGTGTAGATAAGAAAGATGAAGTGCAAAGAGGAAGATTATAGGATATGGAAAGTTCCTCAGTGATATAAACTGAAGGGAACATACAGGAAGGCAAAGAAATCACTTCATGTGAAGTTAGTAGAAATTGTAGAGTGAAGTAATAAAACTAGTAAGATATATAAAAAAAAATTGAGAGAAACGAGAGGATGAAGGGAAAATAAGGAGAAGAGATTGGATAGGACGAGGAAAGATAAAGGGATAGGTGTGTACAACTGAAAGGGAGGACAGAGTTTGGAATATTGCGTATAAAGTCGATATGAAGTATCCATTGAGAGAAAGATAGAGAAAGAGAAAGAAAGAAAGAGAGAGAAATAAGAAAATGTAATTAGACATGATGGATAAGGAGAAGGTGTAGGTAGTGTAAAGCTTAAATGAAAATTAAGAAGATTATAAAAGAAGATTACAAGAACATTAACAAAGATAATAATATAAAGTCAATTAGAGAGAGATAACATAGGCCCACAATTTAAAAAAAGTTGTCTGTGCTGGGGGTTTGACTAGGTGTACTATAAGTATTTTGGGCTGCTGAATCCAAATCCGGTGTCAGATTTGCTCCATCACCCTTGAGTTTCCCGGAAAATCGAGGAAATCGTGAAAAGGAACAGATATCCATGTTTTTACGGAGACATGTTTTCAAGGAAAATTCTAGAGTGACAAATAACCCTATAACTCCACAACCAATGTTGAAAATACATTATGTACTTCAACATCTGATGACTAGAACAACCCAATAACCCAATAACCCATATACCATCATGCATATTCGGTTTTAGTTCACCCATCAATCCTTTAACATCGCATAGATTAGAAAATCTAATCTGTGCGTGCCCTATCATGGTCACATTCATGTTATTGTCCACGAGATGGAATTTTTTTTCTATTCGAAATATCAATTCTACAATCTATGATCGTCGATCAGATAAATCCTGCTGCTTCAGAGAATGTTGGAGACGATGACAGTTGCCCCGTAAGGGGATGTGTAGAATGATTCGTTTTCCATGTTGAAGTACATAATGTATTTTCAACGTTGGTTGTGGGGTTATGGGGTTATTTGTCACTCTAAAATTTTTCTTGAATACATGTCTCCGTAAAAACCTGGATATCTGCTCCTTTTCACGATTTCCTCAAGTTTCCGGGAAACTCAAGGATGATGGAGCAAATCTGACACCGGATTTAGATTCAGTAGCCCAAAATACGTATAGTACACCTAGTCAGGCCCCCAGCACAGACAACTTTTTTTTA